GATGATAATCTATATTTTTAATAATTATTCTTTTAGAATATATATTAAAATATGTAATATTATCTTTATTTTAATGTAAAATTAAAAAATATTTATTAGTAAAATTAAAAACTTTTATATAAAAAGAAAAATTCGCATTTTACTATATTTAATTAATAAATTTTGATGTTATTGCATTATTTCTGATTGTTATTATAAATAAAATAAATCTAAATTTTATTAAGTATATAATTATAAAATATATAGATATATAAAAATAAAATAGTATATTCTAAATTTATAAATTTTATACTAATTTTATTTTTTCTTGTTTATATAAATAATTAATAAAAATTTTTATATAATTAAATATATTAATTATTATAGATTTAATATACAAAATTTTATAATAAAATATTAATTATATAAAATATTTTATATATATAGTATATAATATTTAAAGTTATAAAGAAATTGTGAAATGTTCTAAGTTCTTTATATGATTTTCATAATTTCATGAAATATTACGAATTATGGAATTAACGAATTTTATAATATAATTGTAACAATATCTATTTCTAATAACTATGATACATGTTGCTTTTATACAAATCCAAGATATAATTTTAGGCTATACGAATTCATATTCACTATATTACTTAAATTCTATTAGTTCAATATTTGTTCGCTCGTTCATTCATTCATTCACTTAGTTATTCATTCATTCACTCATTCACTTGTTCACTCACTTGTTCACTCACTTCACGTGATTTGATCTTTATCTAATAAGATATAATATATGTATAATCCAATAACATGTAATATTATGATAAAAGATCATTATACAACACTATTTATGTTATAAAATTATAAAAAGATATATATAAAAGATAGAAAAGGTAAATAGAAAAAGGTAGAAAAGATAAAAAATAAGGGTGGTAAAGATAGAAAAGATAAATAATAAAGGTAGAAAAGGTAGAAAAGATAAATAACAAAGGTAGAAAAAGTAGAAAAGGTAAATAACAGAGGTAGAAAAGGTAGTTAATAAAGGTATAAAAGATAGAAAAGATAGATAAATAAGATATAAAAAATAGAAAAGATAGATAAATAAGGTATAAAAGGTAGAAAAGATAGAAAATAAAGGTAGAAAAAGTAAAAAAGATAGAAAATAAAGGTAAAAAGAGTAGAAAGGTAAAAAATAAAGATAAAAAGAGTAGAAAAGGTAGAAAATAAAGGTAAAAAAGGTAAATAATAATAATAATTATATGATTATTAAATAATTAATATATATATACTATTTTTATCAATTTGTTGTTTTGTTACTATTTTTGGAGATTTTTATATTTTCTACTATTTTTGAAAGATTCGTTAATTACAGAATTATTGAAAATAAATATAATATTTAATTCATTTTGTTTCACAAAATTCTTTCAGAATTCTTTAATTTTATTATTCTTCATTCATCAAATCTAAATAATATTCAAAGAATTCTTTTGTTGTTGAATCTGATTTTCATTATCAAATATCTTATAGATATTTTGAACAATTATGAAAGATTTCTCTCCAATATGTATTCTGAGAAATTCACTAAGTTTGTCTTTTAATTTATATTGTTAAAGTTTATATTTCTTTGGAGGTTTGCTAATTAATTTTCCAATTTTATAATAAATAATTGTTCTTTTGATATTCTTCAATTTTTTGATATATATTCGTTTGAGTAATTTTTCAAGTTGATCTTTCCAAATTTCAGAGTTAGAAGATTTCTCTTTAGGTTTTTCTTGTAGCATTTTTTCAATAAGATCTTTTTCTTTTTGAATTGATATATTAGAAGATCCTTCTCCATTATCATTACTTGTTGATTTATTCTTTGGATGACAACAATAAAAATAATGAACAACAACAACAAAAATGACAAAAATAATGACAAAAATGATGAAAATAATAATAAAAATAAAAGAAATGATGAAATGGAAGAAAAATATTATCCAACTCTCTCTTGCTCTCAGTAGTGAGCAGAATGATTGACACTGGTGGTCTAAAATTCAACAAGAAGAGAATTGTTATCATAAATCACCAGAAAATGACAAAGTAGCATTTTCTCAATAAAAATGCAAAATTTCAAAGAATATCATCACTACTCATAATAAAAATATATATCAAAATAACAGTAATATTCACCAGCATAGAAAAAGCAAAAAAAGGACAATAAACTTACTGAAATTGCTATCTGAAAGTTTACAAAATTTCCAAAAATAATAGTGAAACTGTGATACTTTACTGAATGAAATGCGTGATGAGCAAGTGTACTCCCTCATAAAAAATTAAAAAATAGATAAAAATAAAATGTGTGACTCATCTAGAAATAATAGAATAAAAAACAAATTAAAAGAAATCTATATATACAACAAAATATGAATAATAATATTATTATTATTATTAAAAATAAAAGAAGTGGATTTAATTTCTATCTGACCAATCAATAACTATTATACATAAATCACTATTCTAATAATACAAATCCCTAATATTATAGTGATATCACACAAATTGTGCAATTAAATACAGTTATATGTTAATTTGACATGATAACTAGCCCACTTATAGTGACTTAAAAAACTTAACCTCTTAAAAATTTTCTTTAATAATTAAAGTTATAATTATTTTTATTATTTTTATCATGTCATATTTTTTATTTACATATTGTTATTATCCAAAAGTAAATGATAAAATAATATTATTTATATTATTGTTATCCCTTATTTATTGTTTATTATTTATTTATTTACATTTATAATAGATAATGAGAAAATCTAATTGTTAATCAATTAAATTATTATCAGCTCCTTTTTTTTATTGCATTTTTCTTATTGTATTTTTCTTTATAAAAGAACATTTATTTCACCTTTTATTTTCTTTAATTTATTTTATTTTTATTAAACTTTGAACAATTACCCTTCTTTTATTATTACCCTTCTTGAATACGCAAATTTTTTGTATATAGAAATTGTTATTATGACTGATTCTCTAACTTAATTCGCTGAGGTGTTGGTTTAATATTGCTTGAATTTTGTAATGAATGTTCTCTATCATATACACAGTTTAAACTTTCTTATTCCTAATTCCATTTTAACAGAAGAGGTCAAAATGCTATATGTGTTGATGACTTGTGGAATAATCCACATGTTGTTACAGCCCTATCAGAGAATCTTTGCTATAATACCTATACGTAAGATAAAATTCTATTATAAATTATTCGCTTTCTAAATTATCATTCCTTAACTCAATGATAATTGTCATAACTGATTAAGACTATATAGCTGAGTGACAAAGTCTTCCAGTATCTTATAATAAGCATGAAGAACTAAGAGAGTTAATAATTTATTCACCTTTTATTTTTCTTATTTTATTTTTTTATTTTTATTTTGTATTCCTTCGACAGAGCTCAGGAATTATATGGAGGAATATGTTATAGTATATTTTGTTTATTATATTTTTATTGGATAATTATTTAGTTTATTTTTATTGAACACTTCATATAGTATAATTTATTGAACAATATTTATTTTTATTCTTATTGGTTAGTTATTTTTGGGCTTATTATTTACATGTATTATATATCAATATGACAGATATTGAACATTTAATATTTTGAACTATTGATATTTTGAAACATTGATCTTTTGAATTATAGAGAATTTGCTTGTTTAGTGTTATGGATATTTAGAGATCTTTGCAACAATTAATTTTGTATATAAGTAGCACTCCACTTAATAACAAAAAGATAAGTTTATTAATTAGAAATTTAATCACAAGTTCTTAATAACGAATTCACTTATTACATATCTTATAATTACTCTTTAATTTTAATATAGTTTTGATTATAGACTTGAAATAGTCTATGTAATATTGTTATTCTTGTATTATATATTTGTATAGTCTATGTGCAGAGCATCGACTGAGGCAGCAATAGTGAAAGTATAATAATAAAGAAGCTTTGTTAATAAAACTATCTTGAACTCATCATAATTATAATGTATAACTTTCTTAATTTGATCCATTATCTTCTCTTATAACTGTAAGAAGAAACCTGTTAAAGATCTTCCATTATATAAATACTATTAAAAGAACTGGAATAACAATACACTCTCTATAGAAATATTAATTTCAAGATCAGATTTTGATCTTTATAGCAATAGAGCACTGTTCAATCATTAACAACCAGATAACATATCTTTTACAGCAGTTGGTTAGAAAATGTGGATGAGCAATTTTTTTCTAGATCATCAAAGATTCTGGTTTCTTTTTTTTTGCAAATTTGTAGAACTGATACAAGATTCACCTGCTCTGAAGCTGTGATTTCCAGTATTGAATTACTTTCTTCTCATAATATGAATATTCATCAGCATTTTCTTGAGTAAAGAAAATGATAGATGAAATAAAATTTATATTAGTTAATGTGTATTTTAACAAATATAATTTACTTATTTTTGTTTCTACATAATTCTTCAATGGTAAGATATTTGTTTTTCGTAATTTTTTTCATGTGTTCTGTTTGTTAAGATACTGTATATAATAAACAGATTAATCAGTTGGAATCAGTTGGAACTAAACTGATTAATTTGGATTGAGCCAGTTAGAAACGAGCTAATTAATCAGTTGGAACTGGTTTGAACCAGTTGAAACCAAACTGATTAATCAGTTCGAACTGGTTGAAATGAATCAATTAATTAGTTGGAGCTGAATTTAATAAAATCGAATTATATTCAGTTATGATTTTTATGAGGTTGTCCAAACCGGTTAATGAAATCCAACCTCTAGTTTGTGTAATTATTTGTTCTTTTCTGCACCGGTTTCTGGTGCTGCAGATTCCAATTCTCACAACGTCTCTGAAAAGCTTTTCATACATATTAATATTAATATAATAATAATATATATAATAAAACGACAATGATTTTTTGGTTTCATTTTTATTAGCAAAAAAATAATTGTAATTCATATAAATTCATTCTCAAAAGGCATTCTCAAACTAAGAAATTTTTAGAACATAATTAACATAAAAGTTATTGTTCAACAGTACATAAATATTAACTAAGCTTATTGTTATTTACAATCAGTTCATCATTAATATAATTAAAAATACCAGAGCTATCTATGAATCGAGTACTCATTCGCACATTTTTAAACTCTTCATCATGCAAGAAGTGTACAATATTAAGTTTGCTCAATTCTTCATTAGATGGATAATAGGGATTTTGGGTTGAATTATCCTCACATGTGAAATGTACTATCCAAACATCTTCCGCAGATAGCTTATTCCCATATTTAAGTGCTCGTACAAAGTGTTCATTGAGTTGTGTTTTGGTCGCAGTAGCTAGAAGTTCCAAAACAATTGTCTGATATGGAGTTTTAATTACAAGGTCACTATATATGTGTTTATCTTTTTCGTTGGCATGATATTCTACCAAATGCCACTGAGAAGTGACCTCAAAATTACGTTGTTTGGAAATCCAGTTGATTAAGATCCTGTTCATCTCTGTATCATAGACACTTTCTCGGGGAACACGTTTGTTTTTTTGACCATTCACATATACATCATGTGCTGTTTTAAATGACCGATAGAATGCTCTAGAAATGATGTCTTGGTCAAAGGATTGGACGACTGTCTTCAAAATGTTGACAGTATCAAGGAATCCATCACGTTTTTCAGGAACTGCAACTGTTGGGGAGGACTTGAATAATTCAGGAATGACTCTTTGTCGAACCAGCTCATCTACAAGAGCAGATGACATTTTAAATCTATCTTTGGTCTTTTCATCCCTAATTAGCACACCCTCAGCTGTTAAGAATTCTGCTAAATTTCTTTCTTCATAATCAACAATTTGTATTAAATCAAAGAATCCTATGAATGCAGATCGAATAAGTTGCATGGCTTTCCTGGCTTTATCCTTGGTAAGCGTATGGACCATCTTTCTAAAGGTGGCATAATCAAGTACCGATTTTTGTAATGAACTAATGGTGAAGTTTGACCAGGTTAAAAAGTCAAGCCTTCTTCTTTCATCAAGTTTCCTTATTAAGTCTACATAAATAGCTTTTCCGCAAAGACATACAAGGCCGGCATGTCTGTCAAATAACAGAATCATGAAAAGTGAATTTTCGATTTTTTGTTTTGTCATGTGACTGATAAAATTCACATACCCATTTGTCCGTGTGTAAATGTCTTCAACTATTGCCGGATCAATATTGAGATCGTAGTCATGTGCAAAGTTTCTATATAATAACTGTACTTGCTCCTTCGTGAAATTTGGATTTTGGAATGGATCTTTCACATTGAACGGTGACGTACTCCTTTTTGAACTCAAATGTAAGATACTGAAGGGGCCGATGGCCACAGAAGACCAGAGAGAATATTCATCTTTTGCATTTTTAATGCCACGGATGGCCCCAAGGAACGAGGCTCTAATGTCATCATCCGCTTCATACAATACATCATACTCATCGACAAAGAGAATCACCTTTTTTTTACACTTGTCTTTCCCAAACAATCTAGCGAATTCACTAGCGGATTTGATACCAGCAAATTTGATATCGGAAGTGCCCTTGATTTCGAAAGAATGGCCGAGTGATATCCAGAATTTATCTACAGATTCTATGTTAATCAGCTCGAGAGTTATGCTGTTCCAAAGAGAAAAGAAACAGAATCAACAATTAGACTCCATAAATTTGATCAATTCACTTAAGCAGAACTCATTAAACAGAGCTTACTAAATACAGATAAAGCCTTCGCCTGTCAACTGTTCCTTAACTTGAATCACACGTGTGGATTTTCCTGAAGCGCGTGCACCATATAAAGCAACAAATTCTCCTCTCCGAATCATATCAAGGAGCGGAACACTCTCCTTCATTGGATCAACAAAGTATACATTATTACGCTCTGAATTTGGAATGGCACTATTAACTGTCCATCTTCTTTTATTTCCTTCTGTAACTGCAGAGAATTATTTGTAAGAACAATGAAATGAAATATATAGACAGGTATGGAAACAAGTTTCTATCACAACTTTCTTACGTTCTTCCGTTGCTTTTCTTTTTCTCTCTAGCTCTAAGCCCTTAATTTCATCATCTATGAGCATTATAAATAACTAGCTTAGTAACATATCTCCATGATTAAGTGTAACTTACAAGAAAAAAACAAGTTAGACAACATCGTAACTAGTATATCAAATAGATAGATAAATAAACGAAACGGAATAACGTGAATGTGTTTTTTGGGCGGTGTTTGACGATAAGCAGGAAGAAAGAAAAGCACAAGATTAAGTATTCGATATTATTAGCAAATATGATACAGCGCGGGCGGGGTGAAACAACGGCTATCAAAAGTTAAGCCACATTATCCTATATTGCATATTATGTGCTCAGCACTTACGTGGCGACCTTATTATGACATGGACAAGCTCATCTGCAGGTTGTTCAGGGAAGTATTTACTAATCTTTTTCGTAGCTAGAAGTTCGTTATTGTCTTGGAGTACAGGGTTTGCTAACAAATCATCGCGATTGTCACGGATGTTCGCTTTCCAAAGTCTGAGTTTAACAGCGTCGAAACTATCAAATTCTGGTGTCTTCTTCGCCTTGATGACGTCCTTGAGGTCACCAACCGTCTCCTCCCTATCAATATCAACCGGGAAAGCGTACCGGACAGCGGGAGTCTTTCCTTTTTCTAGACAGAAAAGTTTGATAGACATGACTTGGCATATATATGCTTTTTTGGGTC